CATTCACTTTGCCGTTTATGTTTAGTTTGCCCCCTTTTAATTGTTGAACAGTGTTTCACAGTGTGACTCTGTGGTGTTTCTTGGCTATACTGCACGTTGACCATCTTCCCAATACTTTCCACTCACCAGGGCTCTAATACCATACCATACATCACAGTTACTTTTTTACTTTTTTTATTTTTTGGTTTTTTGAGACAGGGTTTCTCTGTAGCTTTGGTGTCTGTCCTGGAACTTACTCTGTAGAACAGGCTGGCCTCGAACTCACAGAGATCCGCCTGCCTCTGCCTCCTAAGTGCTGGGAATAAAGGCATGCGCCACCACCGCCCGGCTCAGAGTTGTTTTCTGCATGATGGTATTATATTTTATTTGGATCTAATGCTCTCCAGCCAGCTTTTAAAGTAATTTATTTTTGATTTTTCTATATTAGAATTTGATAACATCAACTTATTCTTTCCTCTTATACAATAATTTTGAAAATTGTTAGGTTGAGTTAATTTTGTGTCTGTCTTTTAGGTTATTTATATATATGCCTCTTTGTAATATTTGAAAAATTGATTCATTGGTTAATTTCAAGAAGATAAAAACCTTTTAGTGGCTTTTTGTTCCTAAAGAATATAGAAGAAATAGAAAAAATATGTAGGGGGAGTTATAGAAGGGGGAAGAGTAAATATTCAGGTCCTGAGAACAAACAAGTTCTTACATCAGAACCAAGGCCCAGAAGAAATGAAGTAGTAGAGATGTAAGATAGGTGCTAACACTGAAAGGTGAAATTAAATTAATGGAAGGAGTTTTAAGAACATGCTTAAAGTTAACTAGAAGCTAAGCACGGTCCATAAAACAGAACTCTCTATGTGGAGAGCAGTGGGCAACATAAGTTCATAGAAATAATAGAAAAGGAGTACAAAGTTGTGGGAGAAGATTAATTTTATAAAGAAAGGACACACTTTGTGCAGGATCTCTACGATGATTATTCTAAAGTTGAGTGGAGGAAAGGTTGGTGAGAAAACTGGTCAAGTGGTAAGAGGAGACTGTAAGATGCCAACCCGTATTTGACACGTCTACAAGGGCAACCCCTAAGCCAAAGGCTCAGGGGAAATCACAGAAGAGAAGGTGGGGAGATTGTAAGAGCTGGAAAACCAACTGGAAAGTCTGCTTTAAAATAATGTCTCCTATATAGGACATGAAATCTGCAACCATAAAATCTCAACAATATAGTTGCCTAAACATGACCTGTGTAATGACATCAGCTGACATTCCAATGTAGATGGGGAATTCTCTCAAGGCCACACCACTAGATGAAGAACTACAAACCATCAGTGGCTGTTGGGAGAGAGAATGAGTCTTCTCTGAGGACAAGCCCTCTGATAAATTATCCACTCCTGAGTGGTACAGCCCTGAACACAAAAACTGCTCTAAAATGGATTCAATGGGGGGGGTTGTGAAGAAGAGATCAGTAATTTCAGAGAGAGTCAGTGGGAGGAAAACAGGAGGAATTGGTAAACAAGATGTAAATACGGTACTTGCATATGAAATTCTCAAATAAAAAAAATAAGTGTGAGAATGAGAACAAAAAGTAGATATATTGATGGCAGATTCAAATCTCCCTCATGACACCAAATTACTGAGAAAGGGTTGACTTTTTCCATGATAGTGTAAATAGATTCAAAATGATTTACTTTGTGATAAGGATAAAGTCTCTTGATCCCTTTGCTGAGCTGAGCCAAACTGTCCATATGTGAAGGAATGAGCCATCTGTCCACAGGAAGTTCTTCACTGCATCAATTGTAATTGCTGTGCTGTCTCCACATGAGATAGTATACAACCTCTAAGAATGAAGTTTGTCTTTGCACATTGAGATACAAGGCTATTCATTGCTATGTAGACATGTGCCAGTACACCTGTGCTTTTCCGTATGGATTTTGACTTTTTTTTAAATTTATTTATTTATTAAGGATTTCTGCCTCGTCCCCACAACCGCTTCCCATTTCCCTCCCCCTCCCCCGATCAAGTCCCCCTCCCTCATCTGCTCGAAGAGCAATCAGGGTTCCCTGACCTGTGGGAAGCCCAAGGACTGCCCACCTCTATCCAGGTCTCGTAAGGTGTGCATTCAAACTGCCTAGGCTCCCACAAAGCCAGTACGTGCAGTAGGGTCAAAAACCCACTGCAATTGTTCTTGAATTCTCAGTATTCCTCATTGTCTGCTATGTTCAGCTAGTCCGGATTTATCCCATGCTTTTTCAGACCTAGGCCAGCTGGCCTTGGTGAGATCCCAATAGAACATCCCCATTGTCTTAGTGTGTGGGTGCACCCCTTGTGGTCCTGAGTTCCTTGCTCGTGGTCTCTCTCCTTCTGCTCCTGATTTGGACCTTGAGATTTCTGTCCGGTGCTCCCGTGTGGGTCTCTGTCTCTGTCTCCTTTCATCGTCTGATGAAGGTTAATGTTCCTGAGGATGCCTATGTGTTTGTCTTTTGATTCACCTTATTTAGCTTCTCTAGGAACATGAATTATAAGCTCAATGTCCTTTATTTATGGCTAGAAACCAAATATGAGTGAGTACATCCCATGTTCCTCTTTTTGGGTCTGGCTTACCTCACTCAGGATAGTGTTTTCTATTTCCATCCATTTGTATGCAAAATTCAAGAAGTCCTTGTTTTTTACTGCTGAGTAATACTCTAATATGTATATATTCCATACTTTCTTCATCCATTCTTCCGTTGAAGGGCATCTAGGTTGTTTCCAGGTTCTGGCTATTACAAACAATGCTGCCATGAACATAGTTGAGCATATACTTTTGTTGTATGATAGGGCCTCTCTTGGGTATATTCCCAAGAGTGGTATTGCTGGATACAGGGGTAGGTTGATCCCGAATTTCCTGAGAAACCGAAACACTGCTTAAAAAAGTATATATCTATAATTTTTAACGTCAAGTTTATTTGTGGATGAAAGGGAAAACAAGCTAAGCCATTGGATCCAACCTTTTATTCCTAAACACTGGGCTTAATTCCATTTTTACTCTCATGTTCAACCTTTACACTCTTTGAGAAGCAAGCACTATCAGCACATTCCATTTCCCTCTTAGGAGAAGCTAAGCTTCTAGTTCCTAATTAATATGACAAAAGGCTAATGTTTTCCCCACCATGATGACATGACTTTAAAGTACTAATTGACAGCTTCTGAGTGAAATGGAGTTTTGTGAATATCCTAACTTGAACACTTACTACAAAGTATATGCCAAAGCACTCAATTCAATTCAAAGGTTCTGGGCCTGAACAGTGCTAGCCAAGGGCATCTCCTTATCTCAGATGATTGACAGTCTTACCCCTACTGAAGTGTGCTCATTCAGTACTTATGCATACTTACATAATTTTTAAAGTACCTCCCATAAACTTACTGAGCTTTTTACACCTTACATGAGTAATAAGGAACAGTCTTAAATATTGAGAACACTTTCTCCAAGTTGACATTGCTTTGGCTAGATGCATTGTTCCTCATTTACATCTGCTTTTCTGACTAAGAGAGGCAAGGGATGAATTATAGAGCTAGGGTGTGGAGTATTTGTGTTTTCAAAGGAAGGAGGACATTTATGAGCAGTTTCATAATTATGAACAATCCATGCCATTCATTGGCGGAGATGCACAAATATAATACACAACCCTGTCCTAAAGTATGTGTATAATGTGTAACTATTTTTTTCTCCCTAGAGGGGTAGTAGTTGGATCAGATAATTTCGTTGCCATTTTAGTTCTACTAAACCACATATTTACTTTTAAAAGCAATCTTAAAATTATGATGGGGAGTTTAGATTGTGGTTTGTATTATAGTTATGTGTAGAATCTTTTCAGAATTGCATTCTTAGTAAATTATACCTTTCGCTTCTTAAGTCTGTGAAACATGACTTTATTTTACGTTTTAATATCGTTAAAATACAAAGAGAGCAGCATAATCCTTTATATTGGCTCTTATTGTGTTTATTATAATCTGAGAAAGTGGTCTGTGTTAGTTTCGACCACCTCTGATTTGTTTTATAAATGAATGTTTCTATGAAACTACAGATTGAGTCTTGCCAAATTCTTCCTTTTTGCCTGGCTATTAAATTCTGAATAGTTCCCCATTAGATGCTTGCTGTGACCTTTTCCCATTTTAATAAAGCAAATTATATAATTCCTCTTGTAAAACATGCTGTGTGGTACACATACATCGTTCCATCTGTCCATTGTACTCTTCAAAGCATTTCATTCTCCTAAGAGTAGACAAGCCTGAACTCCTTGTTTGAGGTTCAGAAGAAGGAGTTAATCAATAGGTACTTTTCTCACTGGGACTTGTCTCTCCTCTCCCCTGCAGGGGCTAGCCTGTTCATCCTCTGCTAATCCTTTAAGCCCTTGGAGACAATTAAGCCTCCTGTTGGGACTCCTTACACTCCTTTTTATCAAAGATAATTAAATCTCTGACTTGAAAGATAATTGGCCAAACAGCAGCAGCACTAAGCTGAATATTGGAATATTTAAAGCTAAAGCGTTAATTCTCAAAGAGGGTAAAGAATTCAGGTGATAGAATCAATTCCAGTCTTGCACTTGATACAGATAGATACCCTCTCCTGTATGTCTCAAGGAGGGAAAAGCCATCAAAATGCAAAAGATTCTCTGAAAGTCCTGTTGCAGTACTATCTATGTAATTATGGGAAGGGCTTTATTTTACATATGGGGAAAACAAGTTTAAATGATCTTTTTTTTTTCTTCGAGCAGGGGAAATAGATAGATAGATAGATAAATTCACATATTTCCCTTCGTTGTTCTTAATGTAAATTAGCCTTAATATTCTATTTTTCGTGCTGTGAAATATATACACACATCAACAAAGCAGTTTTGATTCTTTCTGAGCACTCCTTTGGCTCTGTTTTCCAAATACACTGGCCCTATGAGCGCAAACAGAAGCTTAGCACACAGGGATTGTGATGTTCCTTTCCCCCTTGATTCCTGGCTCAATTTATGTGCTTGTTATAGGGTTTTGACCAGCTTCGCCTTGATGGACTGCTATGTGACGTGACCCTGATGCCAGGTGATACAGATGATGCCTACCCTGTGCACAGAGTCATGATGGCATCTGCAAGTGACTACTTCAAAGCTATGTTCACAGGTAGGTTGCCTTTTGACACCCTGCATTCACTTTAAGACATCAGAAGAAAGCCTTGTCTAATTATTTTATTGTTATTATTTCTAACCTCAAATCCAGTATTTAGCTCTGCGTCATTGAAAAAATATTTTCAAAAAAAAAAAATCTTCACCAGTCTGTGTGGTTGTTTGCTGCTGCTCTGGCAAGGGAAATTGAAGCGTGTTTTGTACCATCCCTTGCACTTCATAGCCTTTCTTTCTTTAATATCAGAGACTCTGTGCTCCTATAATGTGGCCTTTAATCCATCAAAAGTGACAGGAAGTGACAGGAGACCATTTTAAAGGACTGTATTATATATGATCTCCATCAGTATAGACAGAATTTCCTTCAAGTGCTCTTTGAACTGTGAAAACGTGCAAATACCCAACTGTGGCATGGATGCGTACTTGGAGTAAGACTTTCCCTTGCTTTTTTTTTTTTAATTTTTTCTGGAGTTAGGGAAGAGGAGCTGGCAGGGTGTGTGAGCAAGCCTCAGTCTGTAGCTGGGCATCCTCATTCACAGGGTTCCTTCGGGGACTGGAGAGGATCCCTCCCCAGTCAGTATACAGGGAAACCATACTGCAGACTGGCTGGTGCATGAGGATGCAGGGGTGGGGAGTGAAGGTAAGGGGGTGGGGGGATAGGGGGCGGCACTTTGTTTTGGCCAGCCCCTTCTCTCCTTTGGGAGCTCAAGGAGCATAGATCCCTTGCTTTTACTGCATCTAATTAGCAATAGAAGTGAGTTTGACTTGGGTTACCTACCTTCATTGAATTGACTGTCTTAGCAATAGATGTGAGTTTGACCGGAGACCCACCTTCATTGAATTGACTGTCTTAGCAATAGAAGTGAGTTTGACTGGAGACCCACCTTCACTGAACTGACTGTCTTTTCATTTAAGGTGGAATGAAAGAACAAGAATTAATGTGCATCAAGCTTCATGGCGTGAGCAAAGTGGGTCTAAGGAAAATTATTGACTTCATCTATACTGCGAAACTCTCTCTCAACATGGACACCCTTCAAGACACGCTGGAAGCTGCCAGCTTTCTTCAGATTCTACCAGTTTTGGACTTCTGTAAAGTGTTCCTCATATCAGGGGTAAGATGTTTTCAAATCTTCTTTTTCCTGTGGTAGATGCTCATAGAGAGTTCGAGAAAGGCTCCTAAAGTCAATTCTATAGACACGTGAAACTTGTGAGAAGAAGAAGCTGTCATATAACATGTGGTGTGGGAGTAAATGGAAAATAAAACAGGTGAATTTTTTTAAACAGGTGAATTTTACAAAGTAGGATTACTTAAGAGAAGGCTTCCATATGATCAAATGATGTGTAATACTAATACATTTGAAAATATAACTTGTTTTATAATTTTGTATACTTTAATTTTGGTTTATTCATTTCAGTGATTTTATGTAACATTTGACTTACTTTTACACAGTAGTCCTTTATAGAATTAAATTGGAAAATAATCTGAGCTTCTAGAATTCTATTGAAACTAGCTTTACATTTTTTCTTCTTTGATTCTTGATCTTAAGAACTAGCAGTTAAGTGCTAACTTTCGCAAAGATGTGACTCTTGACTCCTTAGAACATATCACACTGTGTAGTGGTTAGCTTTTTTTTCTAATCATCTAATAACTTAACTAGTAACTTAACAGTCACTGTGATCCTACAGATATTTTATTCTAGTCAAGGAAACTTAAACATTTCCTGGCTTACACAGACATAACAAGATTTCTCCAGTTCCTGGAGCCTGCTTTTGTCATTAAAATTATACTGATAATAAAATTTTATTTATTTTCTAATTCATTATTTGATAGATAATATATTTTCCTATAATTGGTTTTAACTAATGTCACCTTAATATTGGTAAATTGCTCTTAGGCCTTTTAGAAATTTTGAACAAGAAATCTTCCTTAAAACACTAAGTTTGGGGAAAATATTTACCTAATTATTTTATTAATAAGGTGCTTCTTATCTGTCAACAGATGAATCAATAATCAATGATATAAGTACACAAGGGAATGATGGAAAGAAAGCTTTTCTATCATTCACAGTTACAAGGATAAGTCTGGACTATAGTATATTAAGTGACATAAGCCACACATAGGAAAAAGAATACTACCTGTTCACACTCACATGTGGAAGCTAGAAAAGTGGATCTCACAGAAGCAGGCAAAGAGTGATTACCAGACCCTGGGGACTGTAGGACTAAAGGAAGTTTAGGGAGAAATTGGTTAGTAGATGCAGAAATAGAGTTCCATGGGCATATTCTGGTGTTCTACAACAGCACATTGGAGTGACTATTTCTAATAATGTTTCATATATCAACATAATTATAAAAGAATATTATAACTGTCTTTACAATGAAGAAATGATGAATAATTAAGATAAATGATACTAATTACTCTATTGCGTAAGATATATGTGTTGAAACATCATATTGTACCAGCAAATTTAAATAAGCAATATATGTGTTAATTCAAAATAAGATAAACAATTAAGCATATTAAACAAAAACATTTCGATAAGACAGTCAATGCCCATTTAATTATACTATTAAAATCTGCTTTTTAAAATATATTTCTTTCTATCACAGAGTACTGAAATGAGTGTCATAATTACTTGTAAAATTGAAGCTAATTGTTATTTTAAAGATTTCATGGCTGTGTGGTGCTATATTATTGACTCTTAGCACTGCTGTGCAGTAGTCTAAATGAAGTTTATTAGTCTCTCATGTTACTAAATTTGGTCTCAAGTTTCATTTCAATCCTGCTATGCAAAGCCCATACTCTTAGCAACTAGTTTTCCTCTGTTTGTTTTGTCACCAACAGCATGTGTCAACTTCAAATAAACTGTGGATGTATTGAATATATTTTCATAATGTCACAAGTTCAAGAATTAATTTAGTAGTAACCCTTAAAGCTTATGTTGACAGACTCTCTACCATTGCTTTCCTCTGAGCTTAACAGCTCATCTTGAAACAAACTAGGGAAAGCGCTATGATTTCATTAGAAATAGTGATTATCAAGAAGCATAGTTGACCTGTTATCTAATAGAAGTTTGGCATATATAACTTCACATATTATGATCAATCACTTTACTTGAAAGAAGACTAAATTGAGAGAGAGAGAGAGAGAATTTATGTATATTTTTATATATACATACATTTTTTTGAGACACAGTCTCACTATGTAGGTCTAACTGGCCTAGAACTCTCTGTGTGAATCAAACTGTCCTAACACTCAATAGAGGCCTCTCCCTTCTAAATGTTGGGATTAAAAGCATGAACCACCACACCCAACAGTAAACAGTATTATCTATCTATCATCTGTCTGTCTGTCTATCTATCTATCTATCTATCTATCTATCCATCCATCCATCCATCAATCCATCCATTTGTTTTTTTGAGACAGGGTCCTTCTGAGTAGCTTTGGCTGCTCTGGAACTCACTTTGTAGACCAGGCCAGCCTTGAACTCATTATTTGCCTAATGCCTCCCCAGTGCTGGTATTAAGGGTGTGTGCCACCAATGCCCAACTAAACCAACTGTATTTAGTGTTAATATATTTCTATCAGAATAGTGCAGAAGAATGTTTCAAGATTACTCTATTTAAAAACCATCTTATTTAAAGATGGGATGATAGTGGTTTTATATGTTTACACCTTTCCAGCAATTCATAAGTTGTTTCTTTAATTGCTTGAAATGCTTGCTACAACTAAGGCTTTTAGCCTTGAGGTGCCTTCATTACCACAAACAGTTAATATTGTCTTCAGGATTATATTCTTTGCTCTTAGTATCTTTAGCAGAGACCCTGCACCATATCCAGTGAGGGGGCTTGATAGGAGCGATGTTTCCTTGTGCTACGCTCCATTCTTCTGCCTCTGCATTGCAGATATCATCTTCTGTGACCTTCTAGGAGATTCATCTTTTTTAGAACATCATTCTACTTTGTTTATGCTTCATCTTGCTTACTGAGAATGTGGCTGTGTTCTTTTATGGTGGCAATCTCCTCTCTCATGGTCTTTGAATTACTTTTTAGAAAACTGGTAGATGCTTAGTGCCAGGATCGTCTTTTCTTCTGATGCTTTGTTTCTTAGTTAAACTACTCTTCCTTCACCTTTGAGCTCTTTCTCCCTTCCTTCTCAGCAAGGGAAACTGAAAAAGGCACTACATACCTTTTCTACTTAGAACTTTAAGTCTCAACATATTATGACTATTTCACATAGGAGGACTTTTTTTTTAAGATTTATTATGTATACAACATTACTTCCATGTATGCCTGCAGGCCAGAAGAGGGCACCAGACCCCATTACAGATGGCTGTGAGCCACCATGTGGTTGCTGGGAATTGAACTCAGGACCTCTGGAAGAGCAGTCAGTGCTCTTAACCTCTGAGCCATCTCTCTAGCCTAGGAGGACTTGTTTTTTAGTTATTCCCTGAGCTAAATTATTATGAGTAATTTCTTAAGATGATCTTATATCTTAAAAACTGTGCTGAAAACAAATGATTTGGAGGAAATAGACTTCATGTTTTTAATGACACACTGAAATATTAGCTCAAATAACTGAAGTGTCAATTGAGTTGGAACCTTGAAAAAGAAACATTGCTTTTAATTCTTAACCATGTGTGTGGATGAAGAACAGTGGCTAGTAAAATGTGAATTGGCAAAATTAGATCCAGAAAGAATTTATGTAGTAGTTTTGAATGATAGCTTTACATATGATAGCAAAATCATTTTTTCATGTTTGTTAGGAATTCCACTTCTGTGTAACAGAGCCTGAGGCTCAGTAGAAGAAAGTCAGCCTTCTGTCCAACTTCATTGTCATTTATAATGATGGCTTTTCCCTTGGGCTAATAATTAGTATTTTATTTTATTGGTTTTTCGAAAGGAGGTTTCTCTGTAGCTTTGGAGCCTGTCCTGAAACTAGCTCCTGTAATTAGACTGGCCTCGAACTCACAGAGGTCTGCCTGCCTCTGCCTCCCGAGTGCTGGAATTAAAGGCATGTGCCACCACTGCCCAGCTAGTATTATCTTTTATAGGATCCAGCATTTTTGTTAGTGCTGTATCATTTTCTTAGTTGTCATTGGAAAGAGAACTATGAAATGAACACAGAATACTGATGATTAAAGCTGTTAATCAGATTAGATAAACTTATTTATAAAATTAAAAAAATACTTTCACATGTTATGGATGTAATGATTTTAGTTGCATACTTGAAAAAAATTACATTAGGGCTTTTAAGTCTACATCCTGTGCCAGATCTCTGGCACCTTCACTTTCTCTGGAGTCCTTTTCTCTTCTTCAATAAACTCTATTTCTATCACTGAAAAATAAAAGTAAGTGGCTGGAGAGATGGCTCAGTGGTTCAGAGCCCCAGCTGCTCTTCCAGACAAGTCAGGTTTGGGTCTCAGCACCACATGGTGGCTCACAAGCACCTGTAACTCCAGTCCCAGGGGCTCTGCTGCCCTCTTCTTTTTTTTTCTTTTTCTTTTTTATTTATTTATTAAAAATGTCCACCTCCTCTCCTCCCATTTCTCTCCCACTCCCCCGATGCCCCCTCCTCCCCCTTCTACAGTCCTAAGAGCAGTCAGGGTTCCCTGCCCTGTGGGAAGTCCAAGGTCCTCCCCTCCATCCAAGTCTAGGAAGGTGAGCATCCAAATAGACTAGGCTCCCACAAGGCCAGTCCATGCAGTAGAATCAAGACTCGGTGCCATTGTCCTTGGCTTCTCAGTCATCCCTCATGCTGCCCTCTTCTAACCTCAGCAGGACCCAGGCGTGCATTCAGTGCATATACATAGATTCAGGCAGAACACACACATACACACACAATTAATGAGAAAAAGATAAATTATATTACTTTTTTTGTCCCTATGACATTACAACATTATGATATTTGGTAGCCATTCCCCAGTTTACAAACTGACTTAAATCAAGATTTTCATTCATTATTTTTTCAGTTTGAAGTATTTGTCATCTGCTGTTTTCCCTGAAAAATGATTATTATGAAGAATAGCAGGCTTGTCCAAAAAAACAAATTAATTTAATATTAGGTTACTGAAATAGCATACTTGGAAATGAAAAAAATTACAACATATAT